CTGATCAGACACAAACGCAACTGAAGTAGGGTTTGGGGTTTGTTATCTGCTTCCTCTTTTTCCTTCCTTCCTCCTTTAAAACTCTGATGATACTGAGGTAACTGAGGGTGTAATGATTCCAGGATACTTAAAATCAAAAACACCAAACATATACACTGATGCTGATCGTCTATGCAGAAAGTTAATGCAATGTCAGCAATTTTCTCACACACAAGTTGCCATCTATAAACGTCAAGTAATTCCTCCTTTGCTCTTTCGAGACTGGGAAGGAGATGATGAAGGCAGCCTTGTGAAAACGCTTGGACGTTTCACAAAAGTTCCTTAAATCTATTACCACAACCTTTTCCATCATCACCACGCGTGAAATGCAGTACATGCAGGGCACTGTCCCATTACCTGAAGTTAAGAGACAAATAATGGAACAACACATACTGACAGTTCAGTTAGTCTGGTCCCAAAGATAAAATCCAACTCTGCAACACTGGGCTTGATCACCTCTCTGTAGTGGCACGTGAAACAGTTCTCTGTTGAAGTGGCTTTTCAGCTTGCAGCCAGTTTTCAAAGACGCAAACAACACATGCAGTTGGTCTGTCCAATCACGGGACGAAAGACACGCTGGAGAACCAGGTGAAAGGTATCAACAATTCTGATTAGGAAATATGAAGCAGGAAGTGCCGGGTTTAGCCGGACAGTAGGACCCAAACTTTCAAAATAAGAGCAAGGGGATGCATTTAAAAAAAAAGAAAGAAGTGCTAAAATGAAACCCCAGATTATTTAATGTAAGACCCTGGATCCCTGCTTACTTTCTCACCACCATTCACTCCGGATTTAAGGGTCAGAAGAGTGTAATATGCAAATGCGGTCACATGGTGACAAACTAATGTGGCTTTTCTTTAAAAATCTGTGCTAATAATAGAACACAATATAACTCCTCCCTGTCGAACATGCAGAGATTTTCTGAATGCATGCTTCCAGACAATAGGCCGGCGTGCCTTTGGGACAGAGAGTTTGCTTTTGAATTCAAGCACACAAAACACAAAGGTGCTCAGGTGGAGTTTGTTTTTATGTCCTGTGTGTGCCTTCAGTTGTTCTGAGAGACCACTGAGCATTTCTTTGAATTAACCTTTCTCTTGTGGTCATGCACGGCCAAGCTACACATACAAGGTAAAGCTGGGTGACAGGTGTTGCAACACAAGTAAAACTTGCCTGCGCTGCAGTGAGGAGACATTTATCTGTACTGTGATTTGTCAGGCATTTGCTGCTTCTCCCTGGGCTTCAACTATCACTACTTGACTGAAAACACAACTTCTAACACAATGCTGTGCTTTACTTTGAGCACACTTTGTTGCTACCTAACAAAAACATCTGTAGCCTTCTTCTATTTGATATTATGCAGCTCTTCGTGAGCTTTCTTAAGTTACAAGGAAAAACTGTTTTCTATGAATGGAAATGTGTGTCGGCTGTATTCTGATTTTTGACATTGTGGCGAAGCGGAGCAGGAAATGCTGGGTCTTTGTTTGAAATCTACTTTTTGTTTTCCAATAACTTGAATAAAGTCAGATCAATGAAATATGAGGTCTGTGGGAGGATTTAATGGACTTGATATAATTGTTGCATCAGGAAATATCCGATACTCTAGACTGAGTTTCCCTGTAGATGTCTCATAAAGGGGTTAACTACATACGCTCTTTATTAAGGTAGTCAATCCAGATACTTTAGACTTAGTTTAAAATGAAAGGAGGTGCCAGAAAGCTAAGACTTTATAGAAACCACTCAACACGAAACCGCCACCTCTTCCAAAGGGATGTTTCTGCTCTTATATAAAAAAAACAAAACAAAAAAAAAAAACACCCACACTATATAATATACATATACATCCACTTAACACCAGTCAGCACTGGTACTGGCTGTTCATAGATAATCCCAATCGATCAATACTTCTAGAATCAGGCATACGCTTACTTTCATTTCATTTTTTTCTATAGTGAAAGTTAAACTGTAATGAAACGAAACCAAAACCACTCATTTGGATGAAATGAAAGATAAGGTGTGCCTGTGCATTACACACCGATGGGAGATTTTGCAGGTATTTAAGTGAAGATTTTTTTTTTTTATTTCCTTAGTAAAAAAAATTATGATATGGCAATGCAGCTGATATATAGGGGTACAGAACATGAAATATTGAAGTATAACTGAACAGCACACTTAAGAGATATGCTGTAGGCAAATTAAACCACACTAACATTTGTATATTTCTGACATTTTATAGCTAATAAAGGATTTTTTTTAAATGAAAACACACCTCTTTGGGGGTTTTTCCTGTATAAAATGAATATGGTAGAAAAGGCTTGCAAAAGACAGAATGTTAATCAGAGATTCACACAGTGGTAGTAAATGAAACACATTTTAACAAGTGATAACACAATGAAAGTACATCCATGTACACATACATTTAAGATGTTAGTTTGTATCATTAGACTACATTACCAAGTTTTTTGTTCATTCACTCAACTGGTGTACAGCTCTGATCTCAGTCTGAGCCTAGGTTTTAGTCGAGGTACTTGGGCTTCCTGCCTCTGCTGGTAGCCCCATACTCCCCTCTCCTGTCATTTCTGACTTTATTTCCTATCATCAGCATCACCGAATTGCTGAATGGTGTCATATGGCAGCCGTCCCGGCAACCACTTGCTACGTGAGCTTAAACAATACTCTAAGATCATTTGTCCTCTGTTTAGATTGTTGGTTATCAGCTGGTTGTTTCTTGTCGTTAGCCAGTGTATATACCCTTACAACCCTTACCCACTGCCAAACATCTTAAACCCGCTTTGAAAGTCTAGCTGCCTTGTGATTCCTTTTTAACTTTCGTTTTCTCGTAAGTCATGAATTCCATTATGAGTGGTGCGAGGTAGCCCTATAGTGGCTAACACGACGTCGAGCTAGTGTGACTGAGCTTTTGCCCATGTGCAGTTCATACAGCACTTGCTAGCTAGGGGCTAATACTAGCTTTTTTTTAATATCAATACCCTTCATCTCTCTCTTGCGCTCCCTGTGCGCTAGCTAGCTAACTCAGCTAGCTGCGGACCACTATGACTAGCAATCCGAGGGGGGACTGGTATGGTAATAGCGATCTTACATGAAATCTAGGAAAAAAAGGATGCCTGCATTGTGAATGTGGTACACCGTCTCTGTTGTACCAGCCCTCTTCTCCCTCCCCCAACTAATTTGGCCTGCGGTGAACCGATGGATACCGGCCACACAGAACAGTGTGATGGCCTTGGGACTGATGATGAAACCACCTTGACTTTGTCAATTTTCACTCTTAACGACTCTCCCTTCACCTAATGCCTCGTTCGCCCGAGACCATCACGGGTACCATACCTTGTATGAATCGGTCGCTAGCAATATGTTGAAGTCGGTGTCTCTGTGCTCCATCTTTTCCCTCCTTGGTTGTGAGTCGCAGCTGTCAGTAGGTTGTGTTACGCGCCGTGCTGCCGGAGACTCTCCAGCCTTGTGTGTAGCCTGGAAGGGGGAAGGACGGGCATAGAGAACGGGCGGGGGAAGGGGCGGGGACTCGGGGGCGGAGGCATACGTCACACCGAAATTCCGACGTTCGTCGTGTATATCCGGAATCACTCGGCTAGATTGCGCGTTGGGCGCTCTTACATGCAGTTCTCAAGCTGAGCAGATGAGGGCAGTATTGACCATCAACTACAGCTCCAACATAAGCTTTTGGACCTGCACAGTTGCTTGATTTATTTATTGATTGATTGGTTGTAGGAATTCGAGTAAATCTTAATTAAAGACCCTGCACGTGAAAATATTTTAATTCATTCACCCAGTGTACACAACGTCACATACTAGGTTCTTTCACCTGTAAGAATAGTAATGATGAAAGTTGTCTCACCTTCAACAGGTGAAAGTAAAAAGGCAGGTCAACGTTGGATAGTGACGAACACCATGCACATTTAACGTGAAGAAGCAAAAGTGAGTGAAAACACCTAGAGTACCTCTGTGGAATTAGTGATGTGGAAATCACAACAGCACATTAACTGTACACAGAAGTCTGGTTTCAGAAGATGATTGATTTATTCCCCTTATTAGGCAGATGCTCATTATTTTTAATCTTCTGAATAGGTCTAGATATCACTAACGTACAGATTGTTTTGTTATGTTTTTAGAAGATGATACAAAGTGTTGGACCTGCTCTTTTCCTACCTTTTGTCTTTTTTTCACTGATATGAGCTCTTTTTAGTTTAATTTACCCCTTTTATCACTTTGCTGTGCAGCTGTTCGAGGTTATAAGAAACCCTAAAAACTCATTCATCGGTTAATGATGTCTCACCAGTAGGTCTTGAGCTATTTCAAATATTAATTTCATTCAGTTTAAAAAAAAATGAAGGAATGAGATGGTCTTTGAGAAGTTTCTATAAGCATAAATACACCAAATACATCTATTTCGAGTTTATGGGTGGTTTTAAGTTTTAAAATAATCATCAAAAAGATGGACCTAGAGAATATTAAAATAAAATAATTCAATTGATTCTGCATTTTAAAGATCCCCTCCAGCCACGCCTGAAGCCAGAATGTATAAATATTTGACTGTTTTTCATTTTGAAAATTCTAACTGGATGCATGGTGTTTCTGATTGTTCCCGCTTTTACAGATTTTCACCACGCCGTTGTTCCGCTTTCTGTTTTGGAGTGCAGCGAGCAATTAGTGCTTATACATATTACATTTAACATTAAAATGTTGCCACATTGGATTGAAAATACACGTAAAAAGTCAACCCCGTGGGCTCGAATGTACAGAAAAGCGGACACATGTATGACACACCACTGTGAAGTCCCTTGCTCAGCAGGCTGCCAGCGGCGTGAGAGATTCCAACCCGCCAGACTGATGCTCTCCTCGGCCTATGGCAGCGACCTCCCGGCTCTGTGATCCCACTCGAGGGAGGAGTTACCTTTTGACTAACGCGACGTTTCCGCATGTCAATAAAAACTTTGTGAAGTCAAGAGGAAGAGATAGATAGTTAAAGGTAATATTTGTCGGAGTGCTTTACTCTACTTTCAGTTTTCAACTAGTAACAAGTTTCGGTCACATGATATGGAGCCTGAGCAGATCCGGCCTGTAATTGCTGCCTCTATTCAAGGGAACTAACTGCAGAGAGTATTTTTATTGGCATAAAAACCAAGGGACAGTAGGAGCAGATATGTTGAGGACACAGCCAAAGTTCGACCTGCACAGGGATGTGGTGTCTGATATCCTCAGGAAGGAGGCGTCGGTCTGCAGAGTAGAAGGTGAGGCGTTCAGGTGCTAACGGTCAGGGTCTTTTCGATGACGGCCAGGTTTTAGTTGTTTTCACGATAAACGAATATCTCACATAAAAGTAGCGGGTTCAAACGAAGTCATGCTCTTCGTTCTTGCTATGCCTTTATCGCAGCTTTACTGTTATTATAGCCTCCCCCCCATAGGCAGTTTAGCCTGCAGTGGTAAAGTTCCTGTGATTTGTTTATTACTTCTCCTTTTTTTAAAAAAAAAAAAGACCACCAGATGGCACTATTTCATCAGTTACCGCACTCTTAAATGCAGGGGAAATGAAACAACCACCCGTGTGCTACAGCTCTTAGACTCAGTAACTGGAGCATAACTCAAAACATCAACAGAAAACATCTAAAAAAAACCAAACAAACAGAGAACTTAAAATACATCGTGAAAATAAAATGTTCCATGTTCTTACTGGATGAAATATATGACAGTGGTTATTTTGTAGACAGTGCATGATGTCTAGTTGGGTTACTTTATATATTTACAGGCCTCTGCTATCAGACACTCGTTAGCTTGCGATAACAATCTATTACAGAGGGTAATTCTACTACTTATTTATTATGTTCTGGATAAGCAGTGGGATGAGATAATAAAACAGGCCAGGCAATAAAGTGTGTGTTCTGTGTCTGAAGAATACTCTGGAGCCGTCGACATTCGTATTCTGAATTTTGAAAGAGATGGGGGCATCCTTTACTCCTGGAAGGTAAGCCCACAGTGAAGGCATTGCATATTATGTGTTGCACATGTTACATACTTGACACTTTATTGGGTATGCTTTAATGGTGCTGAGCTCGACCCCATTTTTGCCTTCACAAGTGCCTTCATCCAACAAGCTGCTGGAAACATTACTCAGAGATTTTGGTCTGTATTGACACGATTGATGCTAATGGCCCATTTCACCCCACCCCAACAGTGCTCTGTTGAACTAATATCTGGTGACTGGAAGCAGTTTGAGCACAGTGAAGTCATTTTCAAGACAAGGCAAGATGTTTAGGCACAGAGTAAAGCCCTGTATGAATGTGCATGTTTGACTGTGTGAATGAGGCTCCTAGTACAAAGTGCACTGAGTGTTCAATTAGAATAAAGCAGCTCTATATAAGCTTCAATTCATTCACCAGTACAATTTTTCCGAAATACTCAGACCAGTCTGTCCGACACTTTTAAAGTCACTTAAATCAATTTCTTCTTCCTCAGTCTGATGCTTAGTTTGAACTTCAGCAGGTTGCTTTGACCACATCTGCATGCCTAAATGACGTGAATAGCTGCCATGTGATTGGCTAATAAGATATTTGCATTTGCATGTCAAATGCTCTGTCTTTAACTCACCAGATGTCCCATTTGTCAGCTCAGCACACGAAACATAACACACTGTTATGTGGGTTACTACATCTCTTAAGTGGCTCTTCTGTTAAATACAGCATTTTTATGCATATGTTTAAAAGCTGCTTGTGCCAGTTCTTCATTGAAGTCCTACTAAGTCAGATATTTATATCTCAGAAGTCATTTTTTTAATGGCTCCAACAGTTATCTTCAAATGGAAGATATCCAAAGAATAAAAAGAAATCTAGATTCGTTTTATTTCGCCCTGTATCTGCTTGATACGTTTGGTACTTTTGTGGAAATCTTGGGCTCCTCGGTAGAATGTAAAATATAATTTTCTGTGTTGAACCGCGCTCCTCTGCACAACATAAATTTTTAATGATGGACCCTCCAAGACTGTGTGGGTTTAGGAGGTTAAAGACAGTGTGCAGCCTGCAAAGGGAAAATAATCTCTCTCTTTTTTTTTTGTAGTGCAGGGTTTGAAATTTTATGCATGCCTGGTTGCACCTTGGGTTTCAGAGCAGACGCCCTTTTATTGAAAACCTTTTGAATGCAAAAATGTGAAAAATGAATCGATGGTTTGAAGCGGGGCAGGTCTTGTCTGGATGATCTGTAGGGTCGGCCATGGCAATAAAGAAGTCAAGGATGACTTTCCGTACATGCTGATGCGGTGAAGATGCCAGACTGAAATTAAATACTTCTTCTTGGTAGATTAAGATTGTACAATGTAATATTTTAATTAGTGAACTAATGTTCTCATAGGGAGCAACAGGTACCACCAGGATTGGGAAATATGACCCGAACAGGAAGAAGAATAAGGTACTGTGTTTGTGTGTGTGTGTCCCTATATTATTCCATTAAGTTTTGCACACTTTGCAATCATGCACTCTTTCTCATGCGACTGTGTGCATGTGTGTTTTCCCCAACAGCTCCTGTACACATTTGACAAGCAGGTGTGTGTCAGCAGCTGTTCCCTGAACAAAGAAGAGACACTGCTGGGTGAGCCTCTGTCTTGTGCAGATAATGAATTATCGGCAACAACACCGGCTTCTTGAACTCAGATCAAGTTTAAATGCCCGTGTCGAGAAAGCAGTTTCAGATCACGCAACGCACGAACCCACAAGTACAAGACGAGATGATGCTGTTCGGATGCTGATTAGTGCCTGAAGAACCACCGGAGCCATTATTGTGGGAAATATGTTCCAATTCAGTCATGTGACATGCCAACTTTGCTTTTTCTCTCCTAGCTGTCAGCTTGGCACAGAATACCAGAGGAGAGGAGCGCCTCAAACCAAGTAACATCCCGTTTCTGTTTTATCCATAAACTGTGACATTAAACCTCTCTTAAAGCAGTGATTCTCAACCAGGGGTACAAATATCTCAGGGGTTATTTTTGGCAGTAGCCAGAGGGCTTAAAAGTACACATTTAAAGTAGTAAATTTAAGTGTGGCCTAATTGATACTAGCTGAAATTGTTAACAGTATGGACAACTGAACAATGTTTTATTTGGACCCAAATTCAGGATGCTGAATTAGAAAAGTTATCAATGAGAAGAAAACTTTATCCTGCAGAAGATAGCAGGATAATCAACTAGAAGCCTAACAAAAAGAATCATGCAACTGACAAAAAGCCAAGACAAAACAGGGAATTGTGGAGACACTTGGAAATGCCACAATTGCAAAAAGAAGGAGAAAGGCAGGAGGTAAAACTAACCAAAAAAACATAGAAAAAAATGTGTTTGAATTGTCGACTCATTCACAAGATAAATTGTCAGACATTTTCATTGCCGTTCAAAAATTTCAGCATTAATATATAATAAAGCCCCATAAAGTAGTGTGCAGAAGCAGTGCACACTGCACTCCACTGACTGGGACACGTGCACCAAGGCGTGTTTGTGTCAAAGAATGAAATATGCTCTGTGCAGTACGTTGTGAAGTGGCTTGCTTATGAAGTGTTATAGAGAAGTAACAAGCATGCACCCATGATTGGTACAAAATAGCATTGTAACAGTTTCCATTTAGTTAGTGATTACAGTGTACCCAAAGTATAGTAATGTGCAAAAGTAATTTCTTTACATTTTATATTTCAGTTCAGACTTTCTTTCTTTTTTCTTTCTTTTTAATTTTAAGTTGAGCTATAGTTCTCCAGGTTTTCTAAAGCTCTTTGAAAGTATTTCTTTGGACATTTGCTGCTTCTCAGTCCAACTCTGGTACGTCTCATTTTCAGAGGAATTTTGTCTTTGTTAAGACACTGAACACTGACCTATGAGTCACTCAAACAGAAAAAGCCATCTAACTCAAGCAGTGTTTTATCAACACATAACAGAGAACTCAGGAAAGAACCGAGATAACACAGTTTGAGATGCATTAACACGGTGATTCCCCAAAAGGAAAGTTGACATATTTCAGCATAGTGTGCAGCATGTCAATATAAAATGTGAAGAAAATGGACAAGTGAAAGACAAAAGACGAAGTGCCAGGCCTAAAATCTAGCTAAAAATCTCAACCTAAAAATTTCACTGTTTGTCTAAGAGACCGTGTTGAAGAATGAAGGCGGTCACACCAAATACTAACTTTGGAGTTTGTTAGATTTGTACAAACTCTGTTTTTGCTTCAACTACAACATGTATTGTATCCAAAAATAGCAAAAATGTTGTAGTGCAGATCTTTTGTTTTGCACCAGAGATAATTAGGAACGTCTGTTGCATAACTTTGCAGCAGTGCATCCAAAAAAGTGTCCATAGTGTATCAACAGCTGCCTGGACTTACTCCCTTGTTAATCCGCTATGTAGCAAACACTGTTTTGGATGAGTGTGTCAGTAACCAGATGGATTTTTCAAAGAAAATAAAGCAGGAAATGACTGAAAGAGAAAAATGAACGGCAAACACGGACACACAGAAAGACAGAAACACAGCAGACACTAAAACTTAGGACAGATTATGATCCAAACCCCTTAAACTTTGGCATTTGAAATATCATGTGAAACAAACAGTAAACAGTCAGCTTCATTAACTATTCTACAACTAAAATTCTACAACTATGACTATTATTACTGCATTATTACCTTTTTATTACCTATTTTCATCTGTTCGCCAATGGTAAACTGAAAGCACTTCAGAAATAGATCAAACTGATTTAAAAAGATGTCAAATAGTAACATTTTCAGACAGTTACTAAATATAGCACTATTTAGCTAGATATAGCTATGACAGCATAGTTCTAGCTGCAAGCACAGCAACCTCCACCTGCACAGGGATGTGGTGTATATTTGTTAATACTAAAAAAGAGACATTCTAAACTTAAACAATAGAAACAAAGTATCACTCTTAGTATCGATCCAATACCAATACAATACCAATATATAGATACCAATATGCCATTTGTGTCTATGCTATCGATATTTGATTATTTAACCCACCTCTAGTGGGGGAACATCATAAAATAGCCTGTTAAATTAAAATCAAAAACTTTCTAGATATTAGAATAGTTATGGCTGTAAGAAAACTTGATTAAATGTCTTAAAATAAGACCGGCTGTCATTGCAGCTCTTAAAATATTCAAACAATCCAGTTGACTTAATTAGGCCTAACTAATTTTTTGCTATGGCCTTTTAAGAATAACTCAAGGATTAAGTTTCTAATAAAGATAAGCATAGTGACATTTACTTTTAAGTCAAATAATCTTCCCTAGAAAGCATAAACATGTTCCTTTATACTGAAAACAAGATCAGCTTTGATCTTAAATTTAAATATCAAATTATTATGCATGGTTTATTCTGAAGTTTTTGTACTTGAATTGGAAAAAGGTTGGGAACCACTTCCTTAAAGCAGTTTAAATACACTCTTTTCCTACAGCATTTTCAATCTGTGAATGATATTAACCCTAGCCTGTTTACCTTTGTAGTATCAAAGTGCCTGACTCTCCTGATTGAGATCCATCCTATTAACAACACTAAAGTCCTCAAGGCGGTGGACTTCAGAGTCAAAGTGCAGGTAGAGTGTTTCATTCACATTTTACTAACAAACAAGCGCTTACATCACAGTTATGAAGCGTTAGTGCTCAGAGGGCATGACTGTCATACTACATATCTTTTATGGCCTCTAGTTTACGTTCTATCACTTAATTAAAGTCAGTGTACCCTCTTTTCTCCACTTTCACTTCTACAGTCATGCCTTTTCATCAATTTTGTTCATAGCCTTGAATAAAAAGCAGCAAATGTTCAGCTTCATCTGGCAAATTGTTGGAAACCTCTCGTTTAGTTTTCCCGTGGCTTTTTTTCCCCATAGTTCCTCCATCATGAAACTGACAGAAGATCAGTGCTGGAGAGCCATCTGCTGCTGCTCACTGAAGATAGATGTAAGCAACTGTGTCCTTATGCTGGCCTGCATGTGTAACAAGAATCCAGAAAGAACTATGATAATGCATAAAAAATAATACATACTTTATATTCTACCGTACATTCTTGCATTTGCATAATTATCATTTTGTGTGTTTAGATGTGGATCTCTACCACGTGATGCTAACGAGGCAGGAGGGATATAGAGTGGTATGCTACATATGGCTTTTTTTCTTATGAAGGAAGTGTTTGCAGATAGTTGACTCATCTGAGCTATAAATTGCATGCAGGATTTCATGGCTGGTAAATGCTGTGCAGTTCTGCAGCGACATAAATTCTTTCCAAGGGTGCACGAATTTAGTAATTAATAAGCAAAACAGTGCAAAGAATATATTGCTTCAACCTCCGTCTCAAAATACACTGCACGTCTTCTGCCAGAGACGTGCATTAACAATTCGTTGTGGCTGAATTCAAATGTTTGTGTGTTGACCAGGTGATAATGAACCCCGAACGTTTGTCCAAGACGGCAGAGAGAATCGTGGAGGATTTTTGCTGGGTCCAGTGGGACAGGCACACGCAAAGACTCTACTATCTCACATTCAAGGCAATGCATACAAACTCGCATTCAAATTTGGCAACAGATACTGTTGCCAATACAGAGGACTTGTTTGATTAACGCAAAATGTACGGCTTGTCTTTTGCAGGAAAAGTTTCTGCTCCGAAGCGTTCAGTTTTACCCAAGCTATAACTGTGAAACTGTGGTATGCTATCTTTGTGTCTTATATTTTAATACATCCCACTCTTTGTGCTCTGTATTTGTTGTTTATGCTTTTACTTTGAAATAACATACCGCTCTGATAACAGTTCGAGCTCCCTTTAGAACTGCCTGCCAACTCCTTCCGCACAGTCAAGTAAGGCAACTTTTAGCAGAGTATAAAATAGAAATATGTCGGTTCTATATTCTGCATTCCTTTTGAACATTGTTTTTGTGTTCGTGTTCGTCTCGATGACAGGTTTGCAAATCTCGGTTTTGACCATTATCACACCGAGAGGCCGGAGCAGGAGCTTGTTAAGTTGCAAGTATTCACAAATAAAATAGGTAAGACGTCCTCACACACATCCATGCACCGCGTGTCTATTCACATGCTTATTAGTCTCACATTGAAAAGTCAGATTATGAGACTAATTTGATACATTTGTGCGATTCCTATCCCTCTTTGTAAAAACAAGAAGGTAAGTCCCCGCCTCAGCTCACCTCCAGGGATTTAAAATCTTGGCCAATTCACAATTTCAGTGATGATTGAAGGATTTGTGGAGATGATCACTTTATAATGAGGTTCTGACCAATTTCTGAGATGACTGTAAATCTTACAAGCCTCCTTAAGTTTCAGAGGTGTTTTCCAATAGCATCACAGCTGATGATGCTTTTGCCAGCGATTAATTCAAAAGCCGATTTGTTCAGCTGATCTGTCAGTTCCTCTCATCATTGTCATCCTTCTCACTTAATATCTATCTGTTCTGGCTCATGCTGCTGTCCTGGTTATATTCACACTCCTCAGATTTTTGTCCTGTATCTTTTTTTTGTGTGTGCTGCATGATTAAACATAGACGGTTTAATGGCATACAGAAAGAGGGACAGAATCGCATTGACTATAGATGAGCTGCACTGTAATGAAGCTGCTTTATTTGAGCTTTAATGTGAACACAAGAGTAACATCTGCCTCGAGCAGCTTGTAAATCTTTCAGGATTTACTTTCTTATACTGACTTTCATCCATTACCATTAATTAGGGAAAAATCAGACTGCAGACTCGTTCTGTATGTTAAAGCCTTGTATTCATATATTCAAGCATGAATATAAAGCGGTCAACACGTTTCTCTCTCAAGCATGAATGTGTAGTAAACAGTACATTTCTTTGTGTGTATATAGGTGGGTAATAAATTAAAGGAAGCCTGGAACCCTTTGCTCAATCCAGTCTGGTACCAGCTATACCAGAGTGATCACCTTCACCTTACGATGAAACATTTTTATGCTGATGGAGCATCATCATGCTGATAGCAGCGCTCCCATCAAGGGAATGTTCCTATAAGTATGACAGTGGTCATATGCTACGGATTGCAACCAAACTGATTACCTGTTTGAAAATTTGTATCGACATATTAGATAGTAGAGATGGCACGATACCACTTTTTTATGTCCGATACCGATACCGATATCATAAATTTGGATATCTGCCGATACCGATATGAATCCGATATAGTGTGTTTTTTAATCAATAAAACTGTTTTTTTAATATCTTGCTGCTTTTTGTATAAGTTCATACTCAAGTTAAAAAACAACAACAACACTAAAGCTATTCTGTTATACCTGTATGTAAAAAAAAAACCCACACTGCACCCAAAATATTTCATAGTTTAGCAACACTGATCAATCTAATAAAGTTAAACCTACTCCATCCTCCCTATTCTGGTATTTTAAAGAGTACTTAGCAGAAATATTAAGCAACCTAACTAATAGGATTGCAAACTCCCAGCAAAAGAAAATAGGGAACCACCCTCTTCCTCATGATGCTTAATCAATGTAATCAACTTTAATTTGATGCAGGGTGAAAAAAATTCACAGAAATAAATTATTTTTTTAAGAATAATTAAATAGATTCAACATCTTTCTTCAACAGAATTGCAGAATTCACAGATGGTACTTTCCCAAAGGAAAAAGTACTATAGCTTACTAGGGTATATTAGACTTAACAGTTACTATATACAGTAATGGACTTCTATACATTTTACATCAGATTAAAACTTTGGGTGTAAGATTCAGATAATTATTAAATAATTAAAAGCTAGATATTTTAAATGAGAATAAGAAAGAAAAGTATGTCTTTGTGCCCCCTTTTCCCTGTTTATGCCCTATCGGCCCCCCTGGCTAAACTTTGCTAGATCCGCCCCTGCACAGTTACCAGCCGTCAGCTGCGTAGAAAAAGATCCTGGTGTAGAAAGTTATATTAAATAAATTCTAACAACAGCTTATCAAGCTTAATAGTGCTGCTGTTGTTTCCTCTTTCTGGTGCAAAGTGGGCCAAAAACCAAGAAGAGAGACGGACTCACAACAGAAAAACCGATCAGCTGATCATTAAGCAGTTTCATGATTGAAGTAGCAACAGGAGAGGGAGAGAGAGAGGCAGTCGCTCCATATATAGGTTGTTAAGCTTAACGCGGGAATGCTTTACAAACATTCAGAGATGAACTTACACACTTGCTTTACTTCTCTCTGAGATAACTTCCTCGGAGATGAAATGTTTGCTAGCAGGCTACAAATACACACAGCCGCTCTATCACGTGACCACACTGCTCCGATGTGCTACGGTTATGAGCCGAGTTACGCCGTGTCGCAAGTTTTGTGAGGTGCTTTTTTAATATTTAATGGATCGGATTACATTTTTTATTTCTCTCCGATATCCGATCCAGTAATTTGGGTCAGTATCGGACCGATACCGATACGTAATATCGGATCGGTCCATCTCTATTAGATAGTGCTAGTTCATCACCACCATCATCAAAACACCTGAGGTGGGTGGGATCATTTTGGGGGGGGCGAAAGACTTAATCAATGCTAGAGAGTGTTCGGCTCTTCTGACAGCATGATGTTGTGCAAAACTTTAAGATTGCTTGTTTATTCTCTTAATTTGGAACCTGTCTTACATAATTTTGTTATACACTTAGATACACTCATTGGCCACCATATTAGGTGCACCTGTTCAGCTGCACAATAATTACAAAAACGAGAAATCATAATGGGAACGGTCAGAAGAGAATGACCAGAAGGCAATAGTAAATAAAAAACCAACCAACCAAAAAACACTTTTGACAACCAAGGTATGCAGAAGAGCGTCTCTGAACTCTACAGCTGCAGAAGACCACAGCAGGTGCCTCTTCTGACAGCTAAGTACGGGAAACTGAGGATAGTGTTTGCAAAGGCTCACCAAAATTGGACAAGATTGGAAAAATGTTGCTGGGCCTGATGAGTGTCTATTTCTGATGCAACATTTGGATGGTACGGTCAGACATTGGTTAAACAACATGAAAACATGTAACATGGTGGTGTAACGACATGGGAGGTGTTTTCGTTGCACACTGAGCATTGTTTAAACACCATGGCCTCCCTCAGCATTGCTGTTTCCAACATATCACAAAGCTCGGATCATCTCAAATTATACTCAAATGGCTTCCACAGTCACTTGGTCCAATACAGCACCTTGGGGATGTGGTGGACCAGGAGATGAATGTGAAATTTAAGATTACTCATGTGCAGCTGACAAATCTGCAACAAATGTGTGATACTACGTGTCAATATGGACCAAAACCTCTGAGGAATATTTCCATCACCTTGTTGAAGCTTGGTGAAAATGGGGCCCAACCCCATACTAGCAAGGTGAACCTAATAAAGTTTCCAGCGAGCGTACATTTTTATATACTGCCAACTGTAAGAAGCTCGTAATGGCATGAATATGCACTGAAATGTTGTTTGTAGAATTTTAAAAGCATCCATAGAAATACATTTAACTTTTTGGATTAAGTGAGCACTCTTCTCATTTAGATTTTTTTTTTTTTACACAAAGAAGTGTGCTGTGAAGGGAAAGAGGTCGAATTATTTCAAAATAATATAATCAAATCAGAATTCCAACCTTTAACAAGGCATGACTAATTTTTACAATTACTATATGGCTGACTCTATAACCTCTGAATATAATCTCAGTATTTCACTCTTATCGCTTGTCCTATTAAAAAGTAAGTAATGTTAAATATTAACAATATGAATAGAGTATATGGTATAATAATATATGATGATAAATCAGATCTAATTTTTCCATTGGTTCTCATGAATAATGCCATGGTTTGATCTGTAACTTCCCTGTTCTGTGCTTTACTCTTAGGAAGCATGTGCGTGTGCTATACCCAGCCTCTTCAAGACAAACACGAACTTCTCTACACTGTGGTTTTAGTTCACAAAGGTGTGTCTGTGCTAGCTCCTAATTTTTTTCCCCCCCTATCTGTTACTGCCTCTTTTACAGTTTTTATCTCGAGCACACGGAGACAAATGTGTTTTTTTTAACTTCCTGCAGACTGCAGCAAGAAGTTCAGGGTGTCTCTGGGCAGTGATGCATCGCCACAGAAAGCCACCCAGCTCCATCCGCTCTGCATTCCCATAGGTCATTGCGCACACAGATATATATATATATATATA